TTGTGCTTTCTTCTCAGTGGTTGGCCTGTGTGTTGTGGGTGGACACTGAGAGATTCTGCAGGGACAGAGAAGGGAACCTGGTAATTTTTTTCAGCAGAACTGGAGGTAATTCACCTTTCCAAAACACTTGGATCAAAGGCTGAGGGAGGTTCCACCAGTAGGAGAATTAGATGAGCTCAGCAGAAACATGGGATGGTTTTGCTGCATGAATCCCTTTGCACCTCCCCAGCATTGAAGTGCTGCATGTGTTTATGCTTCACAAGACCAAATGTCTCATTTTTTCCCTGGAAACGTGTGTGTATTTCAGCGTGGTATCATTCCATTTTCAGACCATCTAGGTTTACTCTATGATTCTTTATTCTTCACAAGCAGCAGCTCATGGCACTGTAAATGCAACATTTCTTGACTAGATGGCAGATAGGAAATATTTCCATTCAGAGCACCTCTGTCTTCTTGTAAAAATCAGGCTATACATGACCCTTTCTACACATTTCTATTTTTAACATGTAAAAAAAAAGCAAACCCTTCTATTTTTAGGTACAGTTCAGTTCTCTAGACTGGCTGGTTCTAATAAAAAAATTCCTCACTCTCTAAAGAAAACCCTGCATTGAAATCACAAATCCAGGGGAACGTCCTGTACTATTAGCAAACCTACTAAGATGAAAACCTCAGCTTCTTAGCGAGGCCTCCAAACAAAAACATTAATCCAGACTTAAGAGGAAAAGCAGGCAAGGAAGAAGCATTAACCTCAGCAAGTTTTCTACCATGCTCCCCCCCAACATGAAAAATATAAAGAAAAACATCTTCATCAGCTCAGAATGGAGGTCAGGACTTCGGACATCTTTCAGATCTCTTTTTATCTGGCCCACTTGGCTTAAGTGCTGTCTGTGTGTCTGACAGCTTTTTCTCTTTTGGAGATCATAGAATCCTTAAGGTTGGAAAAGAACTCTAAAATCATCCAAACCAGTTGAAAAAACCAGACATTATTTAAGGGGCATTCTGTAGAAGAGCAAACATACAGCCTATGTGTGCTAACCACTTGAGGGACTCTCTGAAGACACTTTGGGAAAGGTTTTCCTGGGCCTTGGTGCTTTTTTTTCCTGCAGTCTGGAGCATCAAAGGTTCCTCAGCCTATTTGGTTAGACATCTCATGTACATACCATGGAAGGATTGACAGGCCCCTCCAAACCTTTCACAAGTTGCAGTTCAGGCCTCTGCTCCACCTCTGACTCCTGGTGTGACCTTGGGCAGGTCATTGAGATCTGGATCTTCAGTGTTTTCAAAACTAAACTAGAAACCTGGAGATCTCAGAAACCCCATTCATTTTTGAGTCTTAGTTGCAAATCTGTAAATCTAAGGTGCTGTTAATAACTAAGCATGTACTTACTGCAGGGAGAAGCAGCTTAAAGAATTTGTGAGCAGCGTTGAAACTGTAAGTGGAGGTGCTCTGAATACAGAGATGAAGAGATAGTTCCTTGGTGCACATGCTATTCCCCAGGGCATGGAGCAAAGTACACTGTGCTTCCCTGTATGTGACTGCACCTCAGGGACATGAACAGGAATGGAGCATGATTGACAAGAGATTGCCCTGCGAAACTTGTACAGCAGAAAGAGAGCAAAAGACCTGCTCTTCCTTTTGGCGAATGTGGCCATATATATTCATCTTTCACCTGTAAATCAAGTGCCAAGGAAGTGCACCAGGAACAGGCAGGGGGAAACCTGCTTCAGCAACCCTGCACACCTGGTCATGCCGGGTGAGAGGGAGGGAGAAAAAGATCAGACTGAGTTATGGCGTGCTGTGGTGTCTGCATGCTACAGTGATTGACAGCACAGAGAAACCTGACAGACACCAGACCTGTCAGGGTATCACCTGCATACACTCGAACTCCTAAGTCATTTTCAGACAATTAAAGTTTTCAGAAGATAAGAATTCCTGTGAATACCGCTTTACAATGAACATGATGTGTCTGGCGTAATTATATCCAGTCCCTTGCTATGTCTTTGCACCATCAGCCTAATCAGTGTTTCACTAGTGCTGCCCACCAGTTTCTTCCCCTACAGGGAGTACCAATTAAAATCATTTTATTCCTTTCAAAGGAAAGAAATCAGTGTATTTTTTTTTTTTTTTCCCCCAGCCTTTACAGCATGAGGCATTGTAGTGAGGAGCAGGAAAAATGAAGTGGTCTTTTTTCCTTTGTGGGGGTGACAATTAGGGACACTTAGCAAAACGCCTCCCCTGCTCAAGGTGGCACTCCGCCCGTTCCTATTGACACGTGTGAACGGTGACTCAAAGGAGCCCTTTGTTCCCAGAACACACAGATTATTCCAATTGTGTGCTACTGTCCACTGGGGGCTAAGAAAACACCAAAGATGTTATCCAATACCATAACTAACAGAATGGCATGAAGAAGAATCCAAAACCTGTGAGCACAAGTGGTTTTTTTTCACTCTGACCCTTGGACTGCCCTGGCTTGTGTTTCAAGTGTCTACTTTTTTATCTAAAGAAGGAAACTGCTTCTGTTACCTACCAGTTCACTAGTTTTCAAGGTGTTGCATGCAGGGTTCTCAAGCACTTGATTACAGAGTAGTCTACACTATAATTTATAACATTAATAAATCAAAACCAAATAGTACAAAACACTCTTTTTAATAGCTGCTTCATCAAGGATTTAAAATGTTAAAAGATGTGCTGATATGAAGCTCTCAACCACTGTAATCATTAATTTTACTTTGAAGTGGTCAGGATGTGTCCTGAAACTGGTGGGTTTGTGTATTTATCCTCTGGAATGAAAAGTATAATTTTGCATTCTTACTCTGTCCATAACTCAGACTCACCTTTGTGACCTTCCACTGGCATCATGAGACTGAAAGCAGGCTGGGCACATGTGGCATGGGAGCTGTTCAAGGCATTAACCTCTTAACTTCTCCCAGGGCTGCAAGGTGATGCTGAAAATGTGCTTGAGGACTTGGTTGACAAGGAATTTGGCTGACATGGATCACGAGGACTGGTTGAAATGGAAGTGGATAGAGGAGACTTCCCCTCCTCAGTTTCCTTAACCAAAGACAGAATCAATGGCCAAGGTCACTTTGATGATAATTTCTGCTGAAGATGGACAAGGGGAGAGGAAAACACTAATAAGTATAATGACCTATTTTTATACTGGAAGAACAGTTAAGAAAAATTAATAATTCCCCAACATGTACCCTTATCTGACATCCATGCAGATGCCCTCCATGGGTGCAAAACCCAAACCCAAAAACCCAGCCCCCAAAACTTTACACACAACTCCACTGGTCAGTGTGCTGGTTTAGATATCTCATCATATGCTCTGTTTCCAACCTTCCCCGCTCTTGGCTGTCTACAGCAGAGCTCATGAGCCTGCTGCTCCAGGTGCACCATGCAACTCCTTTATGGTTTGTCACCACCATTTAATAATGATATGGCAAGAACAGAATTGGGGCCAAATTTTGACCATATAAAACTGAAAGCTGGGAGGCTGGATGTGGTGTAATTTTTGGTCCATGGAAGGAACCACGTGCTGTATCTTCTCTCCTAACTTCCCGCTAAACAATGCTGCATGGTTGGGATCTGCTCTGGCTCACTGCCAGTGCTTGACAGACTGGAGTGATAGAGGATGCTTGATAAGCCTTTGGAAATGAGTCTACCTGAAGGTAAGGGTTGGTGGAGGTGTTAACACTGATGCCATATCTGACATCTGCAGTACAGAGAGTCCTAGTTCTTGGCACCTGTGTTTTCCCATCAAGTAACACTCATTTGTTATCATATATACACACCACAGGTTTACATTGCTTGTAGGGGTGAATCATGCATAATTGTGGCTTCTTACATGACAGTTCATATATTAACAAGTAACTTATTTGTGTTCCATAGTGAAGAGGTAGAGTAGGAGCGTGTGGACCTCTGGCGTCAGAACCATATTCGTCATTATCTGGAGATAAAACAGGAGTTCAGTGGTTTAAAATGAAATGGGAAAATAATTGGTGGTTGGATTTGCCAGTACCACTGGAAACATTGCTTTGATTTATGTGTATATCTCTAGTTACCTAATGAAAATATGATTGTAACCAGGAATCCACCAGTGTTATACAGAACATAATGAAAACATCAAAAGTCAGGCTCGTAACAATTTCCCCATGTCCTGCAGTGTTTTTTTGGATGAGCACAGGAGTTTATGAACATGAAGAGAAGGTATTCTCCAGGAACTGTAGAACACTACATGTCACAGGTTCGAGGAAGTTCCGTTGGCAGTGGTGTTGTCTTGGGCAGGAGCTGTCACACACAACACTGTCCTTCAGAACAGCAAGGGGCGGCAACTTTGTGTGGGTACAACAGTGTTCGGCACCTTGTGTGTCAGCATCAGCTCTTTATAGGTTATCCTACCCCAAAATGTCCCAGAGTTGTGGAAAATTCTGTTCACAGCAAGTCCTACACCGGTCCCACCAGGCAGCAAGGGACTCGTTTCACAGGTACTTCTAACGCTCATGTCTCCCGGGGGGCTGTAGCCCGTAGGATTCCTGTAAAAGGGCTACAAACTGAGGGAGCTTTCCTCTCCCGTGAGCCAAGAGGAGCAGAGCAGGCTGCCAGCCCTGCTCCCAGCCAGGTCTGACACCTCCAGCTCCAGCTCCCAGCTTGCAGGGCCTGGATGTGAGCGCAGAGGGAGGGGTGGCACAGCCGTGACCACCTCCCCCTCTGATGAAGTGTGCAGAGAAGATGCAGCGTGCAGGACGTTTGGCCAGAGTACAGGGAGGAAAAAAAGAAAAACTCATTGTGAGGAGACTTGGTTCCCACAGAATGAGGAAAAGGAGACAGCTCTGCATGTTACTGTTCTCTGGGTAGGGCAGTTCTGGCCACAGCACAGAGCATCCTGGGGAGTGGGACCCTTGGGGCATGGAGAGTAGGTTTTTCTAATGGATCTCCTAGGGGCTGATGGATTTAATGGGTGAAGTAAGTCTGCTTTTATTTATTTTATTTTTTTGGCAGCTGCTGCAAGTGGAATTTTATGCATTTTTCTGGCTGTTACTGCTTGTCTGGGCTATTTAGATGTTGAGCTACACTTGTTTCCTTCGTGGCGGATGTTTTATTCAGAGCAACCGAGACACCTGCAATGGCACGTTACGGTACACTTCCATTTACAAAATGTTCTGTGCAGTTTTAGGAATGGTTATTAAGTACTGTGTGAGCAGTATTTGATCAGAAGCTCAGCAGTGGGTTACAGAGATGAGCTATTGTTCTACACAGTCTAGTGGCCTGTTAGCTCACAACACGTAGTCTGCTAAGGGTTGGAGGGGACAACTGTTAATATCTGTATCTGTGAGTGATGCAGACATAATTTTCCCTCTCTCCTTGGCATATTCTTCAATTCTGTTGTGGTTTTTCTTACTTTTTACATTATCAAGGTGTTTAGCTGTGTTTCTGCTGCTGAGTTGACACTTAATCCCAGATTAAGGACACCTTGCTCAGCCTTTAGCATGTCCAGCTCTCACTCAGGCCAGTGAATCTTTTGGTAGACAAACAACATTTCTTGATTTTAGGTCTTAATTAAATCCCAGTGTTTGAGACTTTAACTGACAGTTTGCATGATTTTCCTCCCTCTTAATTTTTGCAGAAATCTCTGCTACTGGATACAGCTTTTTGCACTTTGAGAACCAAACTGACTTCCTCCTGTTGATTATCTGTGAAGATCCTGTTCTGATAAGAGTCAACTTTCACTTTGATTTCCTTATAATCATCCAAGGACCAAAATGTTCTGTGTGAAGTGAATAAGGACATTAGAAGTTAAATTTTTGCTAACATAAATCAGTGCAACTCTATATATGCAAAGGTTTGCTCTAGGCACAGACCTGGTATGGAGCAATAATTCATTTTTGTTATAATCTCTTCCTATAATTCAATTCCTCTCACCTTGCAAAACTCTTGAACACCCTCCAGCTTGTCCCTATCTTTCTCATCATTAGTTACCCAGAACACAGACTGGGCTGGATACTGAAGCCTCTATCAGTTGTGGGTTGGCCTCTTGGCCAGGTGAAGTCAGATCGCACAAACAGCTTGGTTTTCCTCTGCTTTGTGTCTGCAAGGTCTCTCTGAAGGAAAACAGCTTTAAACAGAATTGCCTTTCCTGCTACCTCATCATCTTGCAAATTCTTATCCAGGGTGAAACATCCATAAATCTCTTCTTCCTATCAAGATTTCTCCCTGACTCCCTTTCTAAGATTGTGAGATGGTTTGTAGATACATGAATCTGTAGATAACTCTTCTACTCCTCTTGGTAAATATCAGAATGGAAGGCATATTTATCTCCAGACTACGCAGTAATATTGGCTGGCAGTCGTGGTCCTTAGTGTGTAATATCTCCTCTGCTGCTTCAGTAAAGGGTGAGAAGGCAGAATCACATCTATAGAGCCTTACATGAGAAGTTAATTGCCTGTTCTGATATTATGAGTGTAGTAACACCCAAAATAAAAGCTCTACTGGAAATTTATATTTTCTCTGTCAGGACACCTATAAAATTGCTCTGACATTATGACCTTGTAGTGAAATAATGGTCTGGAAGACTGTCTTCCTTCTGCTGTTATGCACCACTGAATGCTAGTGATTTTTATAGTTAATCATAAATGCTTGCCCTAAGTTAATTGATGTCCTCATTATGTCATACTTAACTGCAGCTTAGGAGAGTTTTTTGCCATTAACTTCTATACCAGTTAGCCTTACAGCATCGAGCAGCAGTGAAAACGAAGAAAAGATCCCCAAAACAAATTGACCATTCCTGTGACCACCACATCACCATTTAAATTTGTAAAGGTCACAAGAAAATGTTCCCTTCAGCCTGCATATTTCTCACTCTGCACATTTCATGAATACCACAAGCTAGAGTGATCTTCACAGACACCTGGAGGTTGTAATTAGCAGCAAACCAGTGACTGCCTACCAGTGCCAGTCCAAACGCTACACTTTGGGATTTAGTATCTGGAAATGCCAAAGAGTTGAGGTTTCCACATAAAACTTGGGAACTGAAGCTGTCTAAGAGACATTGATGATCTTGTGACAAAGCTTCAGCTTTATCTGCAGCTCATTTGCAGGCTTCTGTGTGTTGAAACTCAAGGGTGAGACCATAACTCCCACTGCTTGGGCTGTGAGGGTTAAAGGAAAGCTGGTATTTCTTTACCTGGAGTGACAGATTTTGGGGTGGAATGTGAAAGAACTGGTAGAATGGGGTCATGGCTATGGCAGAAAAATACCAGACATCTGATTCTTGCTTTTAAAATATCCCATTGCTTCCAAAGCCCCTTTTTATGGCAGTAATTAACTATTGCCATTAACTTCAGCTAGGTGCACCCATTTCCCATGACATCAGAGGGTTCCCTCCATTCTCAGTCCTCACTGGCCTGTCTTACTGGGACAGCCACCGAGGAACTCCCTGTTCCAGAGCCACATTAACCTACCCTCTTACTCAGTGCTTATGTTTGCTCTTTCCTGTTTTATTCATCTCTTAATCCTAGTTAAAAGCTATTCAAAGGTTTGATCTTGGCAAGCATTTTACCTAAGGCGTGATTCCATCCCAAACCTTAATCCCAATAATCTTGAAAAACAACCTGTCTGACTGACCTTCTGAAAACATTCCTTGTGTAACAAGATGAGATGGACACTGCAGATCAATATCCTTATGAACACCTGATGCAGGCGACTCAGCAGAGATCCTGGCCCAAGGCTTCCCAGCAGAAATTCCACCTGGTTACCCAGGAGATAGTTAAAATTGCATTTTCAGATGTTGCATCAGGGTGTCGTCTATCACTAACATTATCTTTCAAAATTCCCAGCCTTACACATCATGGTGTGTCATGTCTGGTGAAAAGCAATACTTGATTTGACTGATGTGCTGTAACTGGGGTTAACTTATTAGTCATGATGAGCCTATTAGTCATGTTGCATCTGCCTCAGAGTAGGGAGGTTCCTGTGTGAGTACAAGAAGTAACTTCTGTGTATAAAGTACAGCTGAGATAACCCTTCCTGTGTAACAGGCATCATCAGTTTTGAATTAGCTTGTGGCTGATACAGAATATTTCAATGAATGCCCTATCTATTAAAGTGTTCCAAATAAACTCACAGAATAAAAACCTCAAAATCAAACTACAAATCTTTCAGCAGAGACTGTTAGTAGGAAATATATATGAATCTAGTAACATGTGACCTTGTCATCCTTGTGGTTTGAAACCCCCTGCTAGAAGACGAAATGTCAGCCACAAGAGCATGGGCTGTGATTTCAGGGTAACTTTGCCCAAAAGAAAATTAGGCTGAATTCAATGGATTAAGCATTTTGCCACAAAGACTATGGGAAACAGCTGAAGGAAAAATCCAGCTCTGGCTGGAAAACTGGCTTCATTTCTGAGAACACATTTCTGTGAATCTGGGTCCACCATCAATTAATTTTTTTTTTCCCAAACTTTACCCTAGACCCTTCCCAACTTGGATATTAGCAGGTTGCCAGAGGAATGTGTATTACAAGTCTACTGATACATACTGAGCCCAAGCTAAGATGTTCCAATGGTTAACCAGCATTGGTTAAAAGAAGATTCTTATTTTCCCATTGGATTTGTCTGGATTTGATTTCCAACTGGCAATTTTCAGCTAACTAGAAGCTCAAGTCTTATCACATACTAGTGGATCATGCTTTACTGCAGGCAAGGGAAGCAAGGAGAAAGGGAGGAGGATTGTCTGGATGTTTGGTTTTCCCTTTATTTTGGTAAAAACTCCCACAGCTTTGTTGTTAAACAGCAAAGATTTATGCAATTGTGTAGCACAAAGGGCTGTTCAGCATCAGCCTCTTGCAAGAGGTACCTGGTTTGCCTGAATGGCATCTGGCTGGAAAGCAGCACTCACACTATGCATTATCCATCCTTTTTAACTGCCCCCAAAAGAGGTTATGTGCCAGCTTCTCATGACCAGCACTCTGATGGGAGCTCAGTTTCTGTCTGGCTGGTGCATGACAGACCATTAACACTTGTCCTACCAGGAAACCCTGTGTGGTTCAGGATCAGGTTCTGCTGTTGGCTGTTGGCAGTTTTGAGCTGGCTTTGGTATCTATAAACCTTTGCAAAGAAGAGTGTGCAAGGCAAAACCTCACCTAACTGCTGATTGCTTTCAAAATTTTTACAGAAGACATCACTGCTTGCACACCTAGGAAATCTGAATATTAAACTAATGTAAAATCATCTACTGGTAACACTGTGCTCTTATCCCTCTTATGATTTATTCTCTTCAGTCATAGATTCATGTCTTAGTCATTTAGGGACTTTTATAAAGCCCATCCCAGTGATTAGAAAGTTTCCTATTGTCTTCCCTGACTTTATATAGTGTTGTCAAAGTTTGATCTCACTGCTGTTCAGGTCATTGGAAAAACTCTTGTTGATTTGAGTGGTGCTGGATTAAGGCTGTCTATTGTACTGGGGAGGGAGGCACTTCTATGATGCAACGTGACCTTTTCTTTTTAAAACTTGATCTTTAGCTCTGCCGACTTGGCAATTCCAAGCCAGTGAGACAAAAGTTCATCCTCTCCCTCTTTTATGAGGCCATCTGGGAGGACGCTGCTCTCCTAAGCACTACCTCTGTAACAGCTCCATCATTTTGAGCTGAAAATTCTCGTGCCAAATATAAATGTGGGGAAACATCCCCCTCCAGCCTGTGATAAGTGGTTGAACCTGGCACAGCTGACAGGAGGGAATATCTGCCAGAAAAGCTTTAGAGTGTCTAAAGAGGAGAGAACTTGGATCCTTCTGATCTTGGAATGACGTCCTCCCAGGGAGATGGGGTGTGTTTTTCTCCATGAATTTCTTGCTTATCTATCCGGATCAGTGCCTGGATGCAGGTTACTCCTCCTGCACAAGATGGTCTTCATGTATTGCACCCAGGATTTCTTCCATAACTCTACAGCCAACAACCCACTCTATCTCTTTGTTTTATTTAATGAAGAAAACTAATCCCATCTTTTGATCTAGCCCTAATTAGGACAGGTCATGGAAGTCCAATTTCCCTAAACCTATCCTTACAGTCTTTTTCCAGTTGGCATAGTGATTACACTGGATATGTGTAGTTTAACATCTTTATTTGCAGGGTGTTGATGACGCACTACTTGAACTATTAGTAGGTATTTTTGCATTTCATTTTGATTCTTAAAGTTTCCCACCTGGACTCCTGAGGCAGGATGTGTTAAGTCTGGCAGATTATTCAGACGCTGTGGACTGTTTCAGATAACAGCTCCTCTGTCTGGCTTCACAGATCAGAAACTATGTGCTTTTCTGTGTCAGTTTTAAACCTGAAAACTTGGACTCATTTCTGAGCCCTGCCAGTGAGATCACTAACCCTCAGACAAAGATGCTTTGTTGGGTGACAATCAAGGTGTCATTTCTTCTGCTCTGTAGAGCTCCAGTTCTTGGTTTGGGTCCCTCTTCTGTCACCATAAAGGCAATAACTTATGCTTCTAACTGTTTGCATTTTTCTCATAGGGGTCTAAGATGACTGGCACCTAGACCAGTCTGGTGTGAGTTTTCCAGTGTTTCTTGTAGCAACATATGTATATGTAACAGGGGTGAATTTAGTTTTCCCATCTCAAAGAATCAGAAGATGGATAATTCTTTTTAGAGCACTTTTGGTAATTCGAACAGTTCTTTATCTTTCCATAACAGTAGATCTTGACACTCTAATGGACTTTTTGGAATGAAGTTTTTTGTACAAGACCCAGGTTGAAGATTGATGGCAAAAAATGTGGACTGTTTCACAAAAGATAGGATTATGATTTGATTTGTATTCCAGCCAGGTTTTAAATTCATGAAGAATCAAAACTGGCAATAGTGGTTGTTCTCAATATGTAAAAAGAATTGAATTTATCTGTTGCCCCTGTTAGTGAACTAAATAGGGATGTTCAGATGCTGCACATTAGTGTGGCACTCACAGAGGATCCTAAATTTGCATGTGACATTCTAAAGATGAAAAATAATCATAAATAACAGGGTTGATTCTCCAGTTTGGAAGAAACACAAATGCAGCACAGACAAAGTAAAACATCCCTCTTCCTTCCTCCCTTTGAAAAACAAAGCCAAAATTCACCAATTCAGTAACTTTCACGTTTGACAGGATTATTGCATGAATGACAAACTGACAAGTTTTGTCCCTCTTTACTTGTTCCAGCCTCACATTTACTTGCTAATTCATGCAAAGTTTTTCTAAGTGCTCCGTACTGGAGGATGTTGGCTCTTCTCTGAAAAGCAGTTTCTCAACCAACCTATTTCCTCCTTCAGGCTCAGTGATCTGGCACAAGAGCGAAGCACTGCTTGCTGCAGCTCAGGCCAGAGGCTCCGGAAGGCAGAGCACAACCTCCCCAGCTGGTGTGAATTCTGGCTTCTCTATGGCACTCCAGCATCCCTCTCTTCCTCTGTCACCTCATTTTAGTTCATATGATTACACAAGGTTCGCTCCTGACACAAAGTAGAGAGGGCTAAGGAATTAAGTGTGTTTAATTTAGGAGTAACAACAAATTATTTGCAGGGCAGCACTGGCCTGCAACGCTTCCCATTGCAGACGTTCCTCCCTCCAGCTCTTCAAGGGTTGTAGGGTCACGTTCTGTTCCTGGCAGTGCCCTGAAGGTCCTGCATCCTCTCAGCCAGGTTGGCCCTACCTGTACAGCCCATCAGCACATTCCTGGGTTGACTTGAGGAGAACCACTTGAAAATGGCTATAGATAGTCAGTGCCCTTCAGGAATGTGCTAAACAAGCGCACTCCCCTGCGCTCTGCAGCTGCCTGTCTGGAGATCCTGGTTTCCAGCCAGGGCAGTGGGGAACTGTAGTTCCCTTGACCTGATTTAGATCCTGCCTAACTGCCCAAATTTACAGGCGTGAACCAAGAAAAACACTGATGTGTGCTTACCACAAAGGCAGGGACTGACGGTCCCAACCAGGCCATCGCAGAGGTGTGGACTGATGCCTAATGGCTCACCCCTGCTGTGGGCAATCAGAAACCAGAAACGTTTGTATCTCTTTTTTTAAAGATACCATATCTCTTTCTTATCTTTTTTTTTTTTTTTTTTTTTTTTTTTTTTTTTTTTTTTTTTTTAAAGATAACACAGGGCTGAGATGTACTCTTGATACCTGCCTTCCTGAGAAAGGTGGATTAGTATTTATATACTGCTCTGGTCAACTCCTTTCTTTGCACATTTATTTCTCAAGCTTGTGGAATTTTCTTCTAGCTCTCACCAGCGACCCTCCTCCTCTTCATTCTGTGCATAATGCAGATCAAATCCCCTACCATTTGATGCATCACTTGGCTTTTGATGCACCACTTTGGTTTTGCAGAACTCACCAGTTCTAGTATTTTCTTCTCGTTTAGAGAAAAGAAGGGACAGCAGAGAAACAATTTGGTAAGATTCTGCTATATTAAAAATCAGTGTTGTATTTCCACTTTTCACTTCATATTTCTAGTGAAATGTCCAGCTTTGGCCAACAGGGACTCCAGATGCCAGTGTGTTAATGGCAATATTTATTTAGCTATCAATGTAACCCTTTGTTTTTCTAACCCTGGATGGATCATTAAGATCCCATAGCTAATGAAGTTCAAAATATTTTGTGGTATCAGACAAAGCTAGGAACGTAACAGCCTGATCAATATCTTTCAGTGATAGTTTTACTCCAAACCTGTGTTTTGAACATGAACCTTCAAAATGTTTTATTGGCCAAGACAAACGGTGTCTGTGCACAGTTATGTTTTTACAGTATTTTAATTCCAGTGAATCAGTACAGTAAATATTGATACACTGTTTTGCCTTCAGTATTTTTGGACCTCTGTCAAATTAATTAAATAGTAAATAGCAGAGTGGATATCCCGGCACACTGTCCTATTAAACGTTAAGCAAGATTAGAATGCCTGATAAAAAGATCTTTATATTCCTGCAAATAAAGGCAGGACATGGTGTTTTCCAGCCTTTGTTGGCATTTCCCAGGTGGTTTTCTGAAGTGAACATTTACTTTGTGTTCTTTAACAGATGAGAAAGCTTCACTGCTGGTGAATGTCTGCAACATACTTTTATAATTAACTTTCCATCCTCGGTGTTTATTTTTCCCTTTTTCACTGTGATTCCTCCAATTTACAGGTTTTTTCCCTTCTTCTTCTCCTCTTGCAGAACTGAGACACCCGTAGGTTGCTAACCTCCATCTGTGGTGGTGTCTGCAGAGTTTGCAGCTGCTGTTTATCTGCCTGCACACGGATCACCTCGCGTTTCTCCGGGATAGTCTTCAACCACACGCAGAGGGAGCTGTCCTGTTATCCTTATTATTGTCCTCATCCTATTAAAACCTTTGATGTCAACACACAGAGAACACAAAACAGAGATGATTTCTCCAGATACTGCCTATCTCCCTCATCTGCTGGCCAAGGCACAGCGATGAGTTTGCTGCAGGGCCAGGTTAGGAAGTGCATGTTCTTCCTGCCGGGGCTGGGAGAAAGCAAACACCACAGAGCTGCCACAGCCATTCTGAGGAGCAAGACAGCAAAGCATGTTGTCTGCAGCATTTTGCTTACTCAGCACTGGTGTGGCTGACCAGCAAAGCCTGCAGGCCGTTACAGTAGAAATTCAGGCTTTCTGACCTATTTGTTGACTCCATTCCTGGCCCTGCAGGCATCTGCCTTAGCAGAGACATGTGACCAAGGAGGAGATCGAAATCCATCGCATTATACGGTTTGGTTTCCAAAGTGGATGACCTGGGTACCTCCATTTCACTTTCTCATTTATCTGTACATGTCTTCTGTGCTTATCTTTTGTATTGATTTGCTTCGGAGATTACAGAACTCCAGCTGTGGCTTTGCACCTCTGACTCCACAAACTCTGAAGATTTAAGTACTTTAGTGCCAAGTTTCTGCAAACTTGCCTTTTTTTTTTTTGTTTGCCTTTTTTTTTTCTGTGTGTATAACTTGGAGAATCAGTATGTTTCAGCTTTTTAGTACAACTTGCAAGCAAAACTGAATCCATATTGATACTGAAGAATGAATTGGCTTTTACTGACAGATACTTAAGCTCACATTCATCACATTGCAATGTTCCCAAGTAAATTTTTTTCATAAAAACAGATTGAAAGCTTGACCCAGATAGACTTCACAAGAAAGTTTGTTGTCACCAGGAACTGAAAACAAATCTCATGGAATATGAAACAGACTTTAAAATAGATGGCAGCCTGTATCAGTAGAGGTTTGGGTAATTGCATTTCAGTATCCTGGATTATCCAATTTCCATGGAGGTTAGGATACCTGGAAAGCAATCTGTTTTTTCAGAAAGGTTATAATAACTTCCATATAGGTGTATAACAGGGCATATACTCTAGTGGATCCAGGTCTCACATAGTAGTTCTCCTTAGGAGATATAATTTGATGTAAGCATTAGGTATGAACCCCTGCAAATCCTGTAACTCCTAACCCCCCAGAATTCCTCCTGGTTTAAAAGAAAAGTCTGTGATCCAAATCTGAGTAAAGTTTCCCCTCACACACAGGAGCTTCTTCCCCGTTGTTCAGAGCAAGCAAGGCAAATACTTTCGCAGAGCTTGTTTGAACATGCATGTTCTTACAGAAGGGAACATAAAGCAATCTGACATGGTCTTGTTATTTTTCTTTTGGGTATGTCTGTACTCTTTTCATTTTTTTTTCCACTCTCTTTCCACATGAACCAATTCAGGAGAGAGCAAGAGAAGTCCTTTGGGAGAAGGAGGCATGGTGTGTGCTGGAGTGACCTTGGGGATTTTGCCTCTCTCCTTGCTCTTGCCACCTCTTGATAAACAGCAAGTGAAATGGATTTACAAGACTGCAGAAATCATTTCAGTTTCTCTCATTTTATCAGCACAGATGGAAAGCAGGGCTGTATCTAATCTCAGTCCAGAATCAGCTGGAGTTGGACTGATAGTGTATAAAGACAGCAAAGGCAGCAGACCTGTAAATTTACCAAGCTGTAACTTGTGCTGTGTGAGCTAGAAGGACAGAGCTTTTCAGTAGTTTGTGCTTAAGGAAGATAGAGATACAAAGCCATGCATTTTGACATCCCATTTCTTTAAAATACTCCCTAGCTCTGTACCGGATGTTACATTTCCAGACGTTTCTACTTTAACTCTTGCTTTAAAATCTTTCTTGGAAATATAATCTAACAGGGTCAAGTCCCTGGGTTCTTCCCCTGGAAAGGCACATGGGTGAGAGTGCGCCAACACCTCACTACCTATCCTACTCAGGAGGATTCATCCAGATGGCCCTGAAGTTTGTTTGGCATCCTTTTGCTTTCTTCCTCTCTCTCCCTCTTCTTCTTTTTTGTTTGTGTGTTTTTGTTTTTTTTTTTAATTTGTCCTGAGTTCTTTCTGCAGCATTTGAAAAATTCCAAAAGCTCAGGGATGCCAATGTAGTGCTCTGCAGGCAGCCAACTGCACTTCTAAGCCTCCGCCCAGGTATGCATCTGACCACATTTGGCAGCGCCTGCTGAAGAAAGGAACTATTAAGACTTGTTGAGGACCAGGACTAAATTGCCCTCTTACCTTAGACTGTGGTTCCTGTGATTCGGGGTTAAGTGGAGGGGGATGTCAAGCATGCTCCCTAGGAGTAAACTGTTGAGCTAGACATTTTGTCTTTGAACAGGGTAAGGAACTGCTGCAGACCATTCCAGTAAAAATATTAAAGAGACACTTAATGTAATGTGTAGCTTCTACATATGTTCATTCATGCACAGCAATTCAATTAGTACAATACCTCCACAATGTAACCGATGTCTCCCATCAGCAAGGGCTCGTCTGACACATTTCTGTAAGGATGGGGAATTGGGAATTATGTACAGTAAAGAGAAATGTGTAAAATTAGCAAGAAACTTCATTACTTCTGGGACTAAAAAAGCCTCTCTGTATTAACTAGCAAACTGATGAAGCGCTAAAAATCAGTGCTACATCTCCATCAGTCCACTTCATGTTCATTACTAAGGGGTTGTGTTGAAAATTAATATATAATCACCCCTATGAGTTTTGTAGTGATATTGTTAATGTGGGGACTCTGGGAAAGCATTCCAGCCTTTACCTTCTAGACATATGGATTTAAATTCAGGGTTAACATGCATTAGAAATGACCACTGTCGCTTGTCCACTTGTTGCCTGAAAACATCAATTAAAAAAACAAACCACAAACAATTTGTGCAGATGATGGTCTTTACATGGCCTGGATGCTATTAATCCAAATTCTAGTAAAATGCAAGAATAAAAAATGAGCAGCCATGTCCGTAGCCAGGAAAATTGCTGCACGGGGAAGGGATATCTTCAGTTTCTCTGTCTGCTGCAGAGTCATGTGTTAGTTAAATTCAGCAAGTGTTGCACCAGCAGGCATAATATTTCATTGGGTAGCAAGACAAAGGTGATGTGGGAGATTTGGGGTCCTTTCCTGGCTCTATAGCAGTCTTGGGTGACTTCAAAACAAAACAGCTGAGATGGAGAGCAGAGGCCCTCAGGAGTCTGGCATCCTCAGGCTCTTTTAAGCCATTAGACTGCAGGAGCTGTAGTGCTCTTGTAATTCAAATAACACCGGTGCATTAATGTGCAAACAAAGCTTTCTGATGCTGAGGTTAAACTAACTTCCTTTCAGAAGCTTTAAAGTTTCACCTTGTCTTGAAAGAAAAACATATCACATACAGGCTTGAGAGTTTTTGGTAAAAGCTGCAATGTTTTTCTTCTTTTTATTTCCTTTTTTTTTTTTTTTTGTACTTAGTTGTATTTGGAAGAGGAGATACTTCTTCAGGAAGAAAAGCTAACAGGTGTCAGAAATTTTCAAGTTAGAAAAATACAAGTTGAAGAAGGGCATATGGGCCCTGACATGAGTAAGTTTGTCCTTCCTATAACATGTAACATACCCATTGTTTGGTGTATAAATGAATTTTTGTATATAAACATATGCAATACACTTTTTTTCTCCAAAGATCTCCAGTTACTATAATATCTCTTTAAGTATAGTGAATGTTACTGTTCCTGTAAGGAAGCATTCTCCTGACAAGACTCTGAGTCAGATTTCTGTTGCCTGCTCCAGTTCCTTTCTGGCTTTCAAGCCGCAGGTAGGAGCCAAATATCCAGCAGATCTCTCCATCTGATATTCATGGGACATTATGGGAGAAGGAAATACAGAAAATGGGATATGGTGCAGTCAGGGCCAGGGGTATGACGTGAAATGAATGTCAGTTGTTTCCGGAGGCTTGAGGACATTCCACATTAGGTCTGATTTTACCTGAATTCATTGCATTATTTTATTCCAGGAGAACTAGAGACCCTTCAGGTTTCCAAGTGCCAGTGGCCTGAGGCTGTTGGCTGGGCACGGGGACATTCTGGCCTTCAAGGGGCAGTCCCCTCATTCCTACATGTCACTGCATCAGTCAGTGGTGGTGCATTGGTTTTCCAAGTTGTTCCACCCCAGTGGGGCTGTTGTGCTGCTGCAGAATCAGAAAAAGAAGAGATTCCTGTATGAAACCAGTCCAGGAACCAGAGAGTCAGAGCTGTCACGTGGGAGGTTCTCCCTCTTTTCCTGCTTCCCCCCTACAAGCAATGGATTGCGAGGGGAAACTCCCTTGGCCACGAGCTGTACGGAATAGGTAAAGGAAAAAGGGTTGGTAAAAGAATGGCAAAAGAAAAAAAGAATGGTAAAGTCTAATGCCATGCTTTTGTTCCACTTTGTGCCTTTATTTCTTCTCTCTGCAGGATCCTGCATCAAACTGCCTTCATCAGACAGATATTAAATGTAAATCTGGAGCAATCTTGATCCCCCAGGAACTCAGTGGGAACTTTGCTTCCTTTCCAGCAGCTTCTCATCCCTAATGTGAAATTCGGGGAATATCCATTTTCATGCTTCCCCTTTCAACAGCCACAATTTTTTTCACTATCTGTCAGCAAAATCACACAGCACTCATTTCTGATCTAAATTTCAGACATCTCGCCTTAAAACCCTGGGATTACATCAGCAATTAGAGCTTTAGAGACCTTTTGTCTTAAGTGATTATTACTGCAGAGTTTATTCTAAAACTTTATCTGGCCTTACCCAGCCCATATACATCTGGACTGCATTCCAGGAATGCCATTCCTTCTCCATTGTTTCTCTTGTGTTTTTATGTAACTATTCGAATGCAGAGATGCACTCATTTTTACATTGTAGACATGGTTTTAACTGGCACAGCAAACATTTCCCTACACTTATCTTTAAAAACAATATATGTAAGAGATAATCTAATCTTAAATTTAAAGTCTAACACAAATACAGGCAGAGATGACAACTTGTGAAACTATTTCTCTTTAAGACATGCTAACACGGGTGATAGGATAGAG